GTTGAAACAACGTTGAAGAGTCACCATATTTTCAACGTTGAATGTTTGGTGTTATTTCAATGTTGAAACAAAGTTGAAGCTGCAGTATATTTTCAACGTAGAATGTTCGTCGATATTTCAACGTTGAAACAACTTTGAAGATTCAACATATTTTCAACGTTTAATATTTGCTGTTATTTTAAGGTTGAAGCAATATTAAAATGCAGCACAGGCACGTAGCAACAGGGGGGACCATCTCCCCCTTCTTTTTTTCCAAAGACCTTTTCACTATTTGAAATGTTAATTTAAAGGCCGGTCCCCCCTCCCCATTTTTTGTTGTAGAATAGTCAAATAAGGGTTTTGTAGTAGTGTATGAATAAAATTTGGTACTGAAAGAAGTTGGAACCTACCCCCCCCCCCCCCGAAATAGGATTTTCGAGTTTGGAGAATTTTCACGTCCTTGCAGCATATTTTCAACTTTGAATGTTCGTTGATATTTCAACGTTGAAACAACGTCGAGGATGCAACATATTTTCAACGTTGAAAAGTGAGGGAAATTTAATGTTGAAACAACGGGTAATGAGCACCTTATTTTTCAAGGTCAAAATTGTAAGGGTTATTGAACGCTAAATCAATGTAATCTTTTGCTATATATATGCATTGTTAGAAAATATCATGATTATTCACAACAAATGAAATGTATTATGAATTAATTTTAAATTTCATTCAAAAGAATTGTGCTTACAGTACTGTAATGAATTAAATGTTTAATATGAGTTAATATGAAGTATGACATCTACATTCAACTCTTCACTGTAATTGCATGTTTCAAAAAAGTTAATTTGTAAATTAATTGTGAATGCAGTGTTTTTGCATAAATGAAAAAAAGAAACTTTTTAATGCTTAATATAAGCTTTTTTTAAAATAATGACATCTTTATCTAATACTTCATTGTAATTCCATGTTACTGTAGAATTAATAAAAGTAATAATTTATTCCAAATTAATGTAATCTAATTAAAATTAGACTTAGATCTGCGCCGTATACTCTGCACAGAATGTATACGGGGCGGATCTAAGAAGTCTGATTTTTATTAGATTGTGCTTTTGTTGCATTTATGAAAGAACAAAAGTAAACTGTATTAGATATACATGTATAACTATAATCTTTCTTATCACATATAAAAACATTAAAATAAACACGTTAAAAAAGAGTTTAACAATTTACACACTAACAATTGACCCCGGTCAGTTTACATTAATTAAGATCCACTCCCCAAATTTATCTTCAAGGCTTCAGATAAGGAGTGGTTCTAGCTTAGCTGGTAGTTTCAGTGTCATGATAACCTTGTTATGTAATTTTCTTGCTGGGCAGCGATACAGAGTAGTTGTTTGCAGCAGCTTATCTAGGTCAAATTTTGAATTCAACTGATGGACAAGAATTGCGCGTCATCTTGCTGTTCATATATAATGTATTTTACAAGCCATGCACAAGGATTAAGGCTGGATTATCAACTTCTGCTCAGTAAGTACAATTTCCTTTTCATGGATTTAGAAGAAATTTTAGATTTTCTAGTACCCATACATCATTTTATTCTTGTTTTGTAAGCATATTGGAAATCTGCGTGCAAAACTTTAATACTTTGCAATTGCCAATTCCTTTATCCTTACAACTTATTTTGAATGGAGACAATATATAACCTTACTTACAACCAAAATATTGCAGTACTTAAACTTGTTCTTGAATTTATTATATCTTCAAAGAGATTTGCATGATATTTTTCTCTTCTATTTTTTTTTTAATTGAACCAACATCTATTTACTTTCACATTTATACACTGCAAACATATATTGTATCATCAGCTCACTTATAATTAATTTTCTTCTATTTATTTTGTCTTATTTTATAAATTTCTTTTGAATATACACATGTGTATATATTTATTTTTTTCAATGATACCTGTATGTAACTAATATTTACCTGTACTTGTATTTAACCTTGCATTAAGGGGAGGACTAATATATATAGGCAGTGTCTACTGTCCAATCCTATTATGATTATACATAATAAAATATTGTTTAAATTAATCTGTGTGAAATGCACATCCATAGTTCGTGTATTTATGTGTTTTGTTGATATTCATTTGCACATGAAATTAAAATATAATATACAATTTAATTGCAGTTGGCCATAAGATTTCATCAACCACTGGATTTTGAGACGTAATTGATGCCATGATTGTATCACATCCTTCGCCCGTGAAAATTACAAAGGAATGCAACATTTTGTATGTACACCTCCATTTTTTTTTTTTTTTTTTTTTTTTTTTTTTTTTTTTTTTACATTTTTCTTCAGTAATAATTATTTATAGTCATACTGTTATGAATTTTAACACGACGACAAATATAATTCTTTTCATTAATTCCAAGAATAAGAACATGTACTTTTGTCTCTCTTTTTTTTTTTTTTTTTTTTTTTTTTTTTTTTTTTAAATTATTCATGTATATTTTTATCATTTGAAATAACATGTTTTCAAATAAATGACTTTCACATCATTATCTCTTTTGTTAATAGGCTTTGAAACAGAGGATGGAGCTTCCTGTTCATTTCTTTCCGACCGACGAGTCATTCTGTGGGACTTACATGTAACTTTGCGCGTGATTTAAAATCAATGGATCCGCCACTTCGTGGAACTTAGTTTTAGACAGATGCATGATATGATGAACCTGGATATGTTTACTGTGACCCCCTTTTCACTAGGAAGATAAATTTTGTTAAACAGTGATTTTTGAGATTCGATGATTGGATCCTGGATTTATGTTTATTTTCTAAAATGCAGTTTAAAATAAATTCACTTAGAATCTTAATACAGAATTAAAACTTACATATTTCGCAACTTGAATAAAAACTTTTATTAGAATGTGAAATGTATTTGTTTATAAAGCAAAACTCAATATGAATTCAACGTGATTTCAACCAAATATCAACATTTGTACAACCAAAAAATTTCAACCAAATGTCAACCTAATTTCAAGCAATGTTCAACCTTTTTTCAATGTTGATATTTGACGTTGAAACAACGTTGAAGTTTCAACGTTGCCTCAACTTTCATTTGCAACCAAAATTCAACTATACATCAACCAAAGTTCAAGCCATTTTCAACGTCTATTCAACGTTGAAAATTGACGTTGAAACAACGTTGATGTCCCAACGTTGCCTCAACTTTCATATGCAACCAAAATTCAACGTTGATTCAACGTTGAAGTGCAACGTTGATTCAACGTTGAATCAACGTTGAAATGCCTGCTGGGAATAATTGACCCGATTCTCAAAACGAAAGTAGAACTTTTACACGTGGTTGACATGTGTGTTGCAGAACAGCAATTTAGCTAGACGGCATTAATGGACGAAAGTAACTTCAAGATTTGTTTTATTTTATTTTGTTTTTTTTTTAACTGACTGACCGCGTTTAACATGTATAAGCAGTTATTTATTGATCTCCCTGATACTGGCGTATGTCCATAGACCTAACGCAGATTTATGTACCATTAACAAAGAATTAAAGAAAGACGTGTATTTCATTGATTGAAAATCACACTGCATAAGATTTATACTGTACTGATGGCTTAACAATTAAAATTTAAAAAAAAAAACGAAAAATAGAAAGCGTCGATACACACAATGATATCAAATTCGCATCGAGGACTTTATCAGAGAACTAGAGCGCACTGGCTATTATGTATATAAAAGAGATTATTCTACAAATTAAAGATGTTTTATTTTTATTATTTAAACCTGTTACATTCTTCAATATAAGGACATAGTGTACACAACATAAAATCAGAATAGATTTTTTGTGAGATATATTTAACACTGGCTAAAGTGTCTTCTTAAAATGAGAGTTGTATGTAAATAGAGGTGGGGGGGGGGGGGGTCTCAACTTATAGAGCTCATACATGTTCAGTTCTCCACACGAAAAAATAAATTGACAATAACAACCATTGACTATATTAAAGATGTCCTCTAAAAGCTTTTGATGACAATACAAATACACGTGGAAATATGAGATGGGATTTTTTTTAACCTTTAAAAATAAAAACTTGTTTTAAAAAGTACTTGGGGAGAAAAACCACTGCAATAACAACACAATTATTATTTTCCGCAGATATTGAAAACTTTGTGAAAGGAGAAATATAAAGGTAAAGAAAAACACAAACATTTATGATCTAATTTTAACATTATGATGTAAAAATGATTATAATAAAATTAATACATGAAATAAGAAAAAAAAAATAAATGTAACTTTTTTTCCTAGAATAATTTTTTTTTGTTAGAATACTGTAATGAATTTGTTGATAAAATACTTTCTTTAAAACAAATAATCATTTCTTAGGCTATTTTAGTCCCTTCCCAGCTTAAGAACAAAGACCACAGTAATTATCAGTAAATCTCAGCATCGACAGCACATCAACAGTATTTATCAGTTTTTATCAGACTCCACAGTAAAGACGACAGTAATTATCAGTATTTATCAGAAACAACTAAAATTATCAACAACGACAGTAATAATAACAGTAAATATCAGTATTTATCAGCAAGAACAGCACCGTATCAGTAATTATCAGTAAAATTTGGGATTCTCAGCACTTTTTTCGTCCAGTAGTGAATGCGCTTCATTAGTATGTGAGTCCCCCTTTCTTAAAACATTTTTGTCGGTCTATAAGACAATTATATCAAACATGATAGTCTTGGATCCTCACGTGACAATTGACCATGGCGGTCATGCTTTGCTAGTAGGAAGAAAATAGATCAAAATCAGAGTTAAGAGTATCAAAGTGCCAAAAAAAAGAGCGGACATCTTACTAATAACATTGAGCTGGACCTTTTGAAACTTTTTTGTGTAAGTAACTGCGTATTTTGGAGTTTTTGTAAATTACTGTGTATATTACTGCGTATGAAATATGTCTAGTCGTGAGTTGAAATCACAAAAAAGAAAGCCAGAGTCTAAGGGGGGCGAAAAAATGCCGTTCCCCTCTGCTAACTTTGGGCCTTTAAACCCATTTAGTGTACCGTTCGCTCCTTGCCCTGAGCAAATAACGGATCCGTTCAAAACTTTAGCAAGTTTGTCACAAGCCGTGGGTGATATTAAGGCTGATCTATGGGAACAGGATGGGTTTGAAGACAAGATACAATTCATTGCAAAACAACAAGAAGACAGTATAGCGGAGATAGACAGTCTAAAATCTGAAAATGCATCCCTACGTAAGGATATTGAAATGCTAAAATCTGTTGTAATCAGACTTGAAAGAAGAGTCACAGAACAAGAAAAGGAAATTATTGATCTAAAGGGACGATCCATGAAAAACAATATCCTTATACATAACCTGGAAGAAGAAGAAGGAGAAGATCTATTCAGCAAAATTCCCCGCCTGCTTCATGAAAATCTAGAAATAGAAGGAATAGAGTTTGCTAATATCCATAGGAATGCGGGTGACAGAAGGCAAGGAGGTAAGCCCCGAACTATAACAGGCCGGTTGGTGAGATTTGAGAATAAAGATCGTATATTGAAGCAGCAGAGAAAAAAGAAAGATGAAGGTGTTCAACTACCGTTCTACATCACACCTCAGTCACCCGTTCAAGTAAATGAAACGCGTAAAAAGCTGGTGGAACTAAATAGTAAATATTGGAGTGAAAATATCAAAACGAGAGTTGTTGGAGACAAGCTTGTTTTTTCCCAATGGGTCTGTTTACCGAGATAAAGTAAATACACCAAAAGCAGAAGAAATTTTACAAATTGACCAGAAAGAACAGCAGAAGCTAGAGGAAATCGAAGTTAAACGCTCCAACACTCTCTCAGAATCAGGAAATCAAATTAGCGCAGCTGCAGTTGAGGTAGAGACATATGCAAAAGTTCGGAACTTCTATAGGAAAATTTCCATGGATCCAGTTTATGGGCGTGCCAATCACAATATACTGGTATACCGTTTTAAAGACAATTCTGGGACTATACATGACGGATACTGTGATGACGGCGAATTTGGAGCTGGAAGGAAAATGCTTAAAATTCTGCAAGATCAAAACTTGACAAATGTGTCCGTTGTGATATCGCGCATGATGGGAAAGCATCTTGGTCCGAAACGCTTCGATATAATGGAGAAAGCGTTATTTGACGCCCTCAAAGAACTTTTGTAGACTAAAAGTGTGTTCAGGTGTCCGCAATACATTTTTTTTTTAAACAGTTTGTTGTAGAACTAGTTTTTGCATTTTCTTTTTCCCGGATTGAGCAATTCTGCTCTGAATCCGTTTCTTATTTATAGTGTAAATTTCGGGAAAAATAGGTTTATGTTCGTTCCTGATTCTTCAATTACCGACCATAGAAGTGTTTCCGGTATTAAACTGGCACTGAACTTTTAAAGGTAAACAAATAAAAATAAATACTCTGATTATCGATCTTTAAAACTCTTTCAACTATGCATTTGCAACTTTGTTTCGTACAGGTACATACTTTTTTCTTTCTTTTCTTTTTGTTTTGTTTATACAGTCTTTTTTCTTTTTTGTTTACATTTGTGAGTGAATGTGTGTTTATGAGAGAATACAATAGTCATGTAGTTGAATATTTCGTTTGGAGGCTGCCTAAGTTTTACAGATCAGTTTTCGTTGATGAGTGATAATATAAAAATTGTAACGGTGAACTGCCAAGGTCTAGCGACTACTCAGAAACGACAGGATGTCCTTAACTATTATAGAAAAAAGTGTAACTCTATTTTATGTCTGCAAGATACACATTTTACCTATGAAACTGAACCATTTGTAGAAGCTCAGTGGGGTTATAAGTGCTATTTTAGTTCATATAAATCTAATTCACGAGGAGTAAGTATTCTTTTTAACAACAATTTTGAATTTAAAATCCACAGAGATAAGAGAGATAAGGAAGGAAATTTAATTGCTCTTGATATTACCATTGAAGACAATAGGTTAACCCTGGTAAATGTATATGGACCAAATACTGACTCTCCGGAATTTTATGAAAAGATTCGAGATATTTTTCTAGAATTTGACAACGAATATTTTGTACTATGCGGTGATTTAAATCTTGCTCTTAATCCAGAAATAGATACATATAATTATGCAAATGTTAATAATCCAATGGCTCGCGAAAAATTGATAGAAGTTATGGAAGATTTACAAATGATTGATTATTACAGGATTTTAAATCCAGAAAAGAAAGTGTTCACATGGAGGAAAAAAAAACCCTGTCAAACAAGGCCGTTTAGATTATATTTTAATATCTGAAGGTCTATCTAATGTTGTTGAAGAATTCACTGTTAAACCAGGGTACAGGTCTGATCATTCTATTGTTGTTTTAGAATTAAAATTCAATCCCTTCATTAAAGGTCGTGGTCTATGGAAGTTTAATAATAGTTTACTGAATGACAAGGTATATGTTGAAAAAGTGAAGCAAACTATAGAAAGGGTTAGGGGTCAATATTTACAAAACATAAATGACATTGAAAGAAATGCTATTCTTGTTGAAAGTATGGATGACCGTTTATTCCTTGAAATTCTTCTTATGGAAATACGGGGAATAACTATTTCTTATTCTTCATTTAAGAAAAATGAGAGAGAGAGGTTAGAAAAATCCATATTAGGAGAAATAGAAAGATTGGAAACAAATAATGATAATAATAATAATACAGATATTTTGGAAGATAAAAAAGCTACCCTTGAAAATTTAAGAAAAGTTAAAATGCAAGGCCATTTAATCAGATCACGTGCTCGGTGGGTAGAAGAGGGTGAAAAACCAACAAAATATTTTTGCAATTTAGAATCAAGAAACTATATTAATAAAATTATTAAAAGGGTTGAGATAGATGAACAACATACTGTTTATGATCAATTTGAAATTTTAAACCAAGTTAAATCTTTCTTTGAAGATCTGTATTCAAATAAAGAGTCAGAATGTATTGATATGGATTTAACTGATATTATTGATCCAGCTGAAGTTAAAAAACTTGACGAGATGACTTCTAATAGTCTTGAGAATGATATAGAAGAAAGTGAAGTTTTAGATGTACTTAAGAATATGAAAAATAATAAGTCACCAGGAAGTGATGGTTTTACTGCTGAGTTTTTCAAATTCTTTTGGATAGATTTGAAATGTTATATTTTAAATGCAATTAATTGTATTTTTTCAAAAAAAGAACTTCCAATTTCTCAAAGACTTGGGATTATCTCCTGTATACCCAAAGGTGATAAACCAAGACAGTTTTTAAAAAATTGGTGTCCAATTACTTTATTAAATGTCTTGTATAAACTTATATCTGGATGTTTAAGTTGTAGAATAAAGTCTACTCTAGAATTTCTTATTTCTGATACACAAACAGGTTTCATTAAAGGTAGATATATAGGGGGAAATACCAGATTTATTTATGACTTAATGTCTTACACAGAGTTAAATAATATTCCTGGTCTGTTAATGCTAATTGATTTTGAGAAAGCATTTGACTCAATTTCATGGCCCTTTCTGTATAAAGTTTTAAAGTATTTTGGTTTTGGAAAGAACATTATCGACTGGATTAAGATCCTAAATACAAATTTTAAAGTTTCAGTTTTACAATGTGGATTTTTATCAGAACAATTTTCTATTCAAAGAGGTTGTAGGCAAGGAGATCCTGTTGCTCCCTATTTGTTTCTCCTTTGTGCTGAAATTTTGGCTATTCTCATAAAACAAAACAGAGATATAAAAGGTATAATAGTAAATGAAAAAGAACACAAAATCTCTCAATATGCAGATGATACCTTGCTTGCCCTTGATGGTTCACCAAAATCTTTGTTTGCTGCTCTTGATACATTGGATTTATTTTCACAAATATCCGGTTTAAAGATAAACAGTTCAAAGACAAAAATTATTTGGATTGGCTCAAAAAAATTTTCAAGTCAAGTTTATCATCATTCAAGATGGAAACTAGATTGGGGATCCACAACTTTTAATTTGCTTGGTATAACTTTTTCTGTAGAGCTAGAAAATATTATTGACATAAATTATAAACTTATTTTACCAAAAATTAAATCAATGATACAACAATGGAAAAGACGAATACTTACACCTATTGGTCGCGTCACCGTTGTAAAAACGCTCATTTTACCAAAACTTACTCATTTATTTATTTCCCTTCCTACCCCTAGCTATGATAAAATATCTTTATTGTGTAAAGACCTTTTTGAATTCATATGGAAATCAAAAATTGATAGAGTTAAAAGAGATATAGTCACTCAAGATTATTTATCTGGAGGATTAAAGATGTTAAATGTTGATTACTTCATAAAATCATTGAAATGTACATGGGTCAAAAGATTGGTAACAGAAAGTAATAAGCCATGGCTAGACATATTTTTTGGAATTAATGGTAATGATGCTGTAAACAAATTTATGGATTTTGGTGATGCTTTTATTTTAAATAGTCTAATACCTCAAAACAATATTTTCTGGTTTGATGTTTTTACTTCATGGTTACATGTTCTGAAGAATGTAGATCAGGATGTTCATATTGAATACAAGGCTTGTAATATTCCAATATGGTATAATTCAAATATTAAGGTAGATAATAAGAGTATTTTTATAGAAAATTGGTATAAAAGTGGAGTTAAAAATATTGGAGATTTTTTGTCAGAAGATTGTAAATTTTTATCAAAATCTGCCTTCCAAGAAAAATTCAGTATTTCCAATGTAAGCTTAATGCAGTATAATAGCACAGTTTCTGCCATTTCTAAATTTTTAAAGAATATGTCAATAGATAGACTGAGTTTGAAAAAACATTTTCAACCTAATTTACCTTTTTATTTTGAAAATATTTTTCACTATGAAAAATGTACAAAGAAAATTTACAATTATATAAACAAAAATGATATAATTCCTACAGCAATTCCAAAGTGGAATCAAGACTTATCTCCCTATGGAGTGGCAGATATTTGCATTAAAGATGTTTTTAAGGTTTGTTTTAAGACTACCTCCGATTCTTCTGTACAGTGGCTACAATATAGAATTCTACATAGGATCCTCCCTGTAGATTCTTATCTTAAGAAAATTAATATAAAATCTACTGACATTTGTAAGTTCTGTGCTCAGGAAACTGAAACTTTACTGCATGTATTTGTCAGTTGTGATCATATTGTATCTTTATGGAGGAACTTGAGTTTACATATATACAGAACAATTTCAAAAAGAGTTGGATTCAATGTCAAAAATATTATCCTAGGTGAATTACCACTTACTAAGGACAACAGAATTGAAAACTTTATGATACTATATACAAAACAATATATTTTTTCATGTTTACTACAACCAAAAATACCTTCATTTACTGGTTTACTGAATTATTTGAAAATGAAACACAATATTGAAAGATGTATGTCTATTAGTAACTCAAAACTGTTTTATTTTGAAGAACAATGGATTTTGTGGAAAAATATTTTTGAACAAATGTAAGATAATTTGACAAGTTTTTTGATATTTAGTTTATGATAGAAACAATTGTTGATAAGCTGATTACTATGAAGCAACCTCCATATTAATTTAAAAGGCAAATAGATGTATGAATGGGTGTGTGAGTGCTAAATATCCATTGTAATTTTGCTGCTAATTTAACTTGATTTTGTATGTTATACAATGGATAATAAAAAAAAAACAAAAAAAACATGATAGTCTTATCCTTTTGTTTTATGATGTTTTATTTGATCGATCTCAACCTTGCTGATTACAAACGTAAATTGAATATATTGAAAATATTATGAGCGAAGTTTTACCAAGAATACAGGCACCCCAAGATGTAATAAATTATCTCTTTACAGGCCAAGCAAAGCTTATGATTTGAATATTTTTCTTTCAGAGTTCAAAGACGAAAGTCTCCAGCCCAAATGTATTTACGCAAAAAGTATAATTTTATAAATAGATACCGGATTTGAAAAAAAAAATACCGAAAAAACAAATGTATAGGTTTTTTCAAGTATAATGCAGCTAACGGCTCAGACTATCCATAATTCCGAAAAATCAAGAATCATTATTTACAGAATCTAACGAATTTAAAATCCTTTTAACATCGCTCTGGTTTATTTAGGAAGACAAAAACATAACAGTATAAGTGAAGATAATTCCTTGTTTAAAATACAATACATGATAAATGCCTGAGCAGAAA